GGCAGCTGGAATCTCTTTATGGTGCCTTCCTCGTGCCCGTTTCCACGGCCCGCACATTCCCGCTCCTGGTCCCTTTTGACTCGACTGATAAGCCGTTTGAGTTCAGCCTTTCTATCCGCCTGTCGGGAGATTTCAACATTATGGCAGAGGCCTTTGTTTATTTATTTAACTGTCAGTAAGATTACACACAAACCACTAAGATGGACTTCATTTAGACTAGAAGGTGAGGTGGAAGCAGTGGACTTGCCCTTTTTTGCACCGAAAGTCATTACTGTTAAAATAATCTGCAATCACCTACTTATCCTGTGATGAGAAACTGAGTTGCTGACATGATATTTGATGCTGTTAACACCTCACAATCTTACTGAGGGTAGTTTGTAAAGAAAGAAGAAAACTATGGTTACTTAAACACAAGTATATTGTGTTTAAGTGGCTAAAGGTGTAATTAACTAAGGTGGTTCTAGGCAACAGGGTTTATATCTGCAGGGAGAGTAAAACACACAGTCATGACAACCTGAACTGACCTGTAAACGTTCAGACTCTGGCAGGGAGTCCACTAAAGACTTAACCATCTGAGAGGGAAAAATATCAGAGTCTGTCTTGTACAGACTCTGGAAGTCCTCTAATGCATCAAGACGCCTGTTGGACACAGTGTTGACCAAACCACGCAGATAATGGTACCTGAACAGAGAAATAGATAAGATGGTTAGGGATCTGACACCATATAAGGTTCAGATATTGTTAAAATGACTTAAATAGAGACATCCATCCATCCATCCAAAAATTTATACAATTTATTGAAGAAACGTGAACCTATTTCCTTGTACATTTTTATAAATTTCTACTTTATATGAGATTTCAGCTTTCTTCGTTCTCGTACCTGGCCAGTAGAGCAGACTCTTCCGGTGGTGTAGCATTAATAGCTTTCCCCAGTGAAGCAATCATGTCAGAATAATAGTTTTGGACATAGTGGTAGGCCAGCGGAGGAGGGAATTCTGGAAGACGGAAAACTTTCACTGCTTTCTTGGGGGACTTTAAACCTGAAGGGAGACAAACAAAATTAGAAACTGATTGCTACTTGGCTAAATCACTTTCACTTTTCCTTAACTGGGACTGACCAATATCAGGTGTCATCTTCCTGCAGACTGTTTTGGGCCTGATGATGGGTAAAGTTTCACTGACAGACTGCACCAGATTTGGCAGGCTGGCTCCCAGCCTTTTGCTCAGCTTGTTGTCAGGGCTGGCGTATGTTCTGTAGCCAGACCTGGATAGCTCAGACATAGGAGGACGCCGGGGAGACTCCGTCATTCCACGATTCCTGAATAGAAAAATGATTGAGGCACAGATTGTGTTTTCTTTATGGTTGGTGATGACAGCAAGCAGGTGAAAGTAATTGAATCAGACAAATCTATTTATTTACAGAGGATAACATGCATTTTTAACATGTCATTTATGACTGTAAAATCTCTATAAACAAATATCTGAATGAAAAAAAAAGTCTGAGTTTTACTGACCAATCATGCTTCAGCTGGCTTTGGTTGCATACTCTGTGCAAAACAGCAAAAAAAGGACTGCATTTGCTAAAAATCTATTCTGACATAGCTGTTAATCATATTCCATGTATTTGTCTTTTATGGTGTTTTATTTTCTATTTATATGAATTTGCAAATTATGACCAACGACAGAGAAGGAATTTTTGGCCAAGAAATCTGTTGCCTGCACTGGAAGCTTGTTATCCCCAGAGGCCAAGTCAGCAAACTAGCTGACATGTTATGTGATGACAGTAAAAACATCTCCAAAGCAAAGTATTCTAATGAAAATCCTGATTTAATGTCAATTGCAACCAGCACTGGAACAAATGCATGACCGTAACAAAAGTCATTCAATCTAGTTATTCATTATGAGTTTCATGAGTCATGAGCACCTTAGCTCTAACTTCTCGATCCTAACCTTTGTGCGCTTGTTTTGTTAAATGATTATA